GTTTCGGAGAGCTTGCTGTTCCGTGACTAATAATCACACACTCAGAACACGCTGTTTTGTTACGGACCAGCAGTCTCCACCATCTCACAGACTTTCTCTCTCTCTCTCTCTCTCTCTCTCTCTCTCTCTCTCTCTCTCTCACACACGCACGTACACAGTCTCAGTCTGTGAGTATATTATGTGCTGTGACTGTCTTGATATGTTCCACGACAGTCAGCACTTTGCATGGAAGGTAACTGCTTACCAATGACCATTTCACAAGATAAACCTGTCTTTGCGTGGGTTTCAGACTGTATTCAGTGTCAGGGACATAGGGGTAAGGCTCATAGGTGAATGGAGGCACAGGAGATGGGAAGACAGATAGAGCATTAGCACTGTTTCCCATACTGGTGTGTTGTTGTTGTCGCTGGTGAGACGTACCTGTTTTAGTGCGGGCATCACGGGTATGACCTGTAGAGAGGTGGCCGACACGTCCCTTTCGGATTTGGCGGGTTTGGCACAGTACTGCTCCAGCAAGTTGAGGTCACAGCTACGGAAACAACACTCCTCTACGATCCCACGGTTCTGGGTCCGTCTGTTGTTTCCCCTGCCAGTTGGCCTACCTGAGGAAAAACACAACAAGCGATGAAGAAAGGCCGTGAGGAGGTTGAGGCTAAGGTCTGAGAACACAACACTGGCATCAGTAATTAATCTAGGTTGTTTTTGCAGGATTACTTCAGCAATCATAGCAGTCCACTGAGCAAAGAGGATTTTGTTTGTAGAGGATAATCTGATTAGGGTTATCTGGAAGTCTTTTAATGAGTGAATACACAAGTAAACACCCTGTGCTGCAGACACCAAAAGAGAGTGATGGAGACAGACATCTAAGCTCTCAGACAGACCTTTGAGTGAGCAAATACATAAAATGGAAACTCTTCTGTGACCTTGTCCTTTGTCATGTCAGCAGAGATAAAGAGGATGGAGACGGAGAGGAGGGGCAGAGAGGTAGAGAAAACAGGAGAAAGGGGATCAGTGCGGAGATAGAGAGGGTGTGTGAGGGTCAAAACAGAGGGAAAGAAGGCAAAACACAAAAGGAAGAGAGTTAAGACATTAAGGGAGAAAGGTATAGAAGAACAAGGTGAAGGAGTGGAGGTTTCCCATGTTGCACGGGTGGGAACACTACCTGCGACCAATACAGGCCTTGTTTGAAGTCCTGCCTCAACAGAGAAATCTCTTGAGAGTGGAGGCATGATTTGATTGCAGGAAGACAAAACATGTGAGAGAAAGAGAGCGTGATCCAGGAGGGAGGAGAAGGTGAGGTCTGATTGGAAAGAAGCTTCTGTGGCAAGCAGCACACAAAGAAACTGTCAAAAGTGTAAAGCAGTGGGTGGGACATAGCTAATATAGGTTTCTGCTGCAGAGACTTGATATCTGAGACTGTGCAAACAGAAGCTTATCCATTTGAGAATTAACCACCACAATGCAGTCCCATAATGCTTTACAGCTATTCATCATCGCTACAATGGAGGCAATGATCAGAATTGGTGGTAATGATCCTTCCTCTTAACCTGACATCAAAAACACCCCACTCCCTCCCCTCTCCCTCCCCACCCCTCTCCCTCCGACTCATCAGTGTGGCCGCCTGGCCTGGGAACACTGGTGCTGAGGTGACTGGTATGCCTCTTGGGGTGCTATTACTTTACTGGTAAACAAGCGGCCCATTGTGTGGCGCTGAGTCGTGTGTGCCTTCACAGCTCGCCGGCCCTTTCATATGCAATGAGAGGTAACTTATGGGCTGTAGGCAGAATGCGCACACTCAGCAGAGCAGCCTGCACCAGGTCTTGAGACACACAGCTGGCTATAATCCCCCCCTCCTTTCTCTCTCTATCTCTCTCTCTCTCTCTCTCTCTGTGTGTCTCTCAGTCAGCCAGTGTGTGTGTGTGTGTGTGTGTGTGTGTGTGTGTGCGTGCGCGAGTAAGAAAAATACCAAACACGCATACCGCACAGCCACAGACAGAGCGATAGTCTCAGCTATCCAAACAGATGTGTGCGAATGAATAACACAGAGACTCAACAGAGAGGACATAAAACGCGAAACGGCCCATTGTGAAAACTTATAATGGTTCGAAACCTACTGAAATAGAAGCCTCTGTCTTCACAGACAAACTGCAGCGCATCCACCAGCTCTCCCCCACACAGCGTCTCTGCAGAGGCTATTTCCACAACGTAGAGCGCCAGGGCCAGTGCAAACAGCAGCGCACGACTGGACGAAGACATCCTCTTGACCTGCAGACAAAAACACACACAGACATATTTCCCGAATCAAGCATCTTGTCAACAAATGCAAACACACATTTCATTAGTTATGACATCAAAAAAATAAAAAATAAAAAAAAATCCCAGATGACAGCCAGATGTTGCCTTTCAGAGTGATATAAGAGGTCTCTTTACGCATTCCCGTTCGCTTGTACAAGATGTACGACTACCAGCGTTTAAGTGCTGTTTCTGTGTATTGATGTATTGACCTACTAACTCAGAAAAAGCCTTACGCCTTCCCCCCCCAACCACCAGCACCTCCACCCCCTCCCCTTGTTATCAGCCGCTGTCACTGTTTCGCACCTGAGAGAAGTGCTTATTCTGGAGGAAAAAACGGGAGAGACAGTATCTCTTTGCCTTCACGCTCTTACACAACTCTCCAGAAGTTGCAAGACCGGCTGCTCGATAGTTAACTATCTGAAAAGCCAGACTCAGCATATATTTTCCCCTTGCTCACCCTGTGATGAGCTCACTGACCCTCAGACCTACCTACCGCCCCCTATCTGCCGACAGAAAGACCAGCTGTTTGCTCCGAGTCCAGAGAACGGCGCACCATCCAGACGAGAGAAGAATAAGAAATACCCTTCAACTCTTGTTCTCCTATCCTATCAGGTAACCTGTTGCACGAATGCTTCAACGCTTCAGCCGCTCTCCGTGTCATGTGTGCATCTTGAACTTTCTCTGTTGCATGCAAATTAAAAGATGTCCCGGTTTGCTCATATTGCACAGAAAACAAAAAAAAACAAAAAACAAAAATGATGCGATTAATGCATCTGCTCAGCCCGAAGCGGTTTTCTCACTTACAAAGCCAAGAAAACATCATTATAACCCCGCCAGAGGTCTTTCAATACCCGCACAGCACAACCGGAGAGCATACAACTATTTGTTCCCTCTGGTTACCTTCATTCTGCTGCTCTCCGTTCTCCGGCAGGTGTGGCAAAGTGTGTGGTGTCCGTGTCTTTGCTGGGTCTCCATGTCAGATGGCAGTAGTCAAAAAGCTGGGGGTTATTTGGTTAGGAGGGATTGCAGGTGAGTTAGTTTCCCAGTTGGTGCGGCTATACAGATGATGTGTGAGAGGCTGTCCCAACGACCAGGCGACAGGCTAAAACTTCTCAGGGACAAGTATTATATACCAGAACACGCCCCTTACACCCACACCCCACCCCCTGGCTCCTCCTCCTCCTTCACGGCTGGTTAAAAAAAAAAAAAAAAAAAAATGGTCCAGAGATGGACATGGACTATGGAAAAGTGCTTAAAGGGAGAAAAAGCAAAAAGAGAAAGAGAGGGAGAGAGTGAGAGGCACAAAATATGGAACAATTCCATAGGCATTTTCCACGTTTACGCACTGTAACCTACAATCACAATGTTTACACACGGGACGCAGACTGAACAAGAATAGAGGTAATTCCTCAGACTCCAGGAAAAATGTCAATGTCTCCGCCTTGCTGTAATTAAGATTAACATTCAGAGTGAGAGCAGTGTGGCCAAGGACTTCGGGTTTTCCTCTGACTCAGGTGTTGATCTAGGGGTCAAATGTGTCTGACAGCGGAGTGAAGATTGGCAACTAAGGTTCTCCTACCTGAAGAGAGCAGAAACGGGGTTTGAAACAGAGGAGGAGGAGGAGGAGGAAGAGGAGGATGCAGCATCAGAGACTGACTGCTGCAGAAATATAGTGCCCAAGCCTTTGGTCAATGTAAATGCTGCATCATATAATGAGGAGGCGGGAGGGGGGGTAATGGAGAAAAAGATGTCATTTGGTTTAAACATCAGTATTAATAACAAGAAGCTGATCAATGTGCATCACTCACACAGTGTGGATCATACTGGACCCACTGTCCTGCACAAAACCGTCATCCAGATGTTGTCGGTCAACAAACGGTGCTCACAAAGTGTGATTTTACAGATGAGTAAGGTTTTTCTTTCTTTATAAAACTATGTGAGGGTGCCCTTATATAAGTGTGGCTTCTGCATAAGGTGAGGATGAAGACGTGTCTTCAGACTCAGACTGACACCTAGTGGTCAGGGTAGTGAACCTCCGTTTGTTTGTCTCGCATGCTTTCTGCAGGTTGGAGGGCCAAGGACTTGATTCACAACCTCTTACCTGACCACCAGGAGCTCTGTCTGGACAAACCCTCTGAGGTGTGTCCTTTCAAAATGAAATTAACATTGTTTCAGTGATATTAATGGCCAGTTTCTTCCTCAATTGCCCCAAATAACAAATATAAAGTGGATTCATGTGGTGAAGGTGAGCTTGTACCATTAATTCCAGTGTCTGTAACCTACTATTAATTTAAGTGGTAGTCATGCAACATTATTTTTTCAACGCTAATGAATACTATATTTGATTCAAATACCTGCATTTCTGTAAGCTGTTTTTCATCTACTTCTCCAGAAGTTTATTTAGTCATTCAAATGTTTATTAGCTTGTTTTCAACATCAAATAACGTTGCAAAATAGCCCATTGTGGTTAAAGGCAGGAGGAGAGCATTAGGATGATTAATTCCTTTAATAGGCTCAATAAGAGTCTGCTGTGATGTTAAGATCAGGCAGGTTTGCCCTGCTGGACTGCGCCCTCTTGTGGCAGACACATGTAAACGAAAAATCCTCACTATCTGGTCAGACATGAGATGAACAGAATATCATTAAAAACATATATATAGTAACAGAACATAAACTTTTATAAATGATTTAAACATGACAGAACATTTTTAACTTGCTATTCTTTATTATTTGACAGATTCTTGATCAACAGTACATTACATGGAAAGTATGTTTTATTATTTCTTTTATTATGCGTCAACATTGCAAGACAAAACTGCATAAAACCAAAAATCAGCAAGGTTAGAAGTAATGCTCAAATACTGAATTCACATATCTGGAAAATAAAGCCTTTAACACAGTAGAGATCTTTTTTTTCTTAAATAAAATACATTTGATTTAAATATACATTTTAATATTTGTTATACCATTAAGTTTCTTTGATTTTAAAATAGTTACACCATACCCATTTAGTTTTCTTTTAATACATTCATTATCACAGTTCCCTTTGATTTTGGTTCAGATTTTGACATATTTCTTAAACAACAAATTTTTTGATTCCCCCATCATTTCACAAATGGGTCCATACCCAGAGAGGCGGTAAACATCTTTGGAAACTGCGTGTTGAGGTTTAAATTGGTTGCAACCTTGTCGGCCAACCAGCCAGCATCAAACAAGCAACAACTCATCGGAAACAGCATCATACTGGAGGTACAGCACAGAAAGATGAACACATTGGTCTTGTCACATGTCGCAGAGCGCAGCGGAGGGGAAGCAAACAACAGCAGGGTGGTCACAGACTGGGCATCATCATGACAAAACACTGAGGGCATCTGTCAGCATCTTAAGCTCATCCTTCACACTTTCCAGGCCTCCTTGGATCTTCAGCGGGTTGTCCAGCACCTCCACACTGCTGGTGTACGGATCAAACCTCACTGAGAAGGGACGTTTGATACCGGTCACGTAGGTTCTTGTCAAAGAAAAAAGGTCAGAAAAGAAAAAAGTAAGACCTAAAGAACTCAAAGGTGAGGCTGTCTTTGAGCCCTTCATGAATGTGAGTGTGTCTAAGAAACATAAAACCAAATATTTCACTTCGCCAGAGGAAACTTCTCTTTGATTGACTAGAAAAAGTTCCCCTGGATGTAGTTTGGCCTGTTAATAGAGACTAGAATATCCTACTTATATCTCCACCACATAAGGAATAGAGATATTCATCAAGAGATTTCCCTCTTACTACGCTTTTACAAACGTTCCCATGCTGATATTTTCTTATTCAGTGTGGCAGAGATGTCATGTGATGTACTCTACTAGAGACCAAATACTGTCAAAACACTCACTAAAGCTACTTGTTTTGCAGGGCAACATTTGATCTGTTTGCCAAATAAAACTTTTTTTTTTTGCCTTGGTAAGAAAGACAACATTAGTAACAGCTGTCTTCTGGCTGCTATGGCTGACCTACAAAAGTTTACGGTCTGAGGGGTTGGCTGGCTGTTCTCTGACCTTGTCCTCGTATAAACCCTCTCACTTTTAGTTTTTTTCTTCTCTCTGTATGCTCTTGTATATTTACATGTGTTTGTGGAAAACGTGTGGGGCAGTACCTAAATTTCTCCTTGGCATCTGAAAAACTCTCAGAAATGAAGTAGACAGGCTGGTATGTCTGATCTTGATACGGCTGCACCGCTGCGGCCTCTGGATCAAACTCTCTTGTCTCTGGTTCGTCGGACAGTGAGTGCTGGATTGAAGTTAAAAGAAATATAGATGGGGAATTAGCTGACAGCTCAGTTGGCTGTGATTATTGCATTTTTATTCAGGGAAAGATTAAAACATTAAGCATGCTGGAAACGCACCACAAGCTCTCCATAAGAGGAAAGCAGTCCAGCACCGTAAGCCTTCACCTCCCCGTTCTGTTTGCATAAGCCATACTCGACGGTGAACCAGTATAACTGAAAACATAAAGAGAGTGGCTGAGAGAAAGAAGGATACTGGGTTCATTATTTATGTCACATTTTAGATAAGGGACTGTACAAAGATGACGAGGAAGGGAGGTGGGGTTCATTTAATCTTCTTGAACTAAACTAAATGGTTAAATCGGTTCGGGTTGCGTGTCTCAATCGGTTTCAATCAGGCATTTATTTTACACTTTATTTTAATATCTAATAGCTGGCAGAGCCATAATTTCAGTTTTGAGAAACAATAGTTGGACAGTCAGTAAAAAAACACCCCATTTGTTCTGTTTTTCATAATTTTGGCAATTGCTATTTCCATTTTAAATGTGCATATAAAAATAAATCCAGAATATCAAAATAAATTGATTAAAAATGAACATATTACACTTGAAATGGAGGTTGGGTTGACATATTAGTGGAACTGTTCAGTAGGGTGTCCCCTCTCAACACCTCAGTACTGTTGCTGTTACTCACTGTGGACAGTTTCTCAATATCTTGATCCGAAGCTCCAAGTGATGCCAGACCAAGGTTCTGCAGCAAGTAATCAATACATTGTCATCACAACATAATACCGCGTGTAAAATAATAATGTGTAAGTCTAAGTCTCCCCATATTCACCTGTGAAAACTGGGCAAAAGTACGGTCGGCCAGCATGGGGACGTGGCCCAGCAGTTCATGGACGCAGTCACTGAAGAAAAAGAGAAAGAAACATTCAGCTGGATCCAAATTGAGAAACCATGCACAGATAAATTTAACTAAATACAGACTTCACAAACTGCCAATTCAATCTGGTTGCATTACAAAACAATGGTTACAGAGTGAAAAACAATTCTGTGTGACACAAGAGAAGTTTATTTCTGCTCGTAAAACTAACTTATATTTGTCCCAAAGATCCATACTTTTCCTTTTCCCCTCAGGAAGTGAGCTCATTTAAACTGTAATATAACTACTTCTATGTAGGCTAGTTTTTTGAGTGAACGTTTATATATAGCAATACATCGTTTTTTGTTTGTTTTTTGTAAATCAAGTATTTCTCACTTAAACTACATTTTATTTTATTTGCTTCATATTTTTCCCTTTTTTCATATGTTCAGGGTAGGTATTTATTTTATGCTGTCACTTTGTTGGTGTGTAAGCTTTGGCAACACGTTTTTGATCAAAACGACATTCCAATATAGTTTCACTGAGCTGAATTAAGAAAAGAGAAAAGGCTATTTTAAGGAACAACATCTGAGGGTGAAGGATGGGAGGCTTAAGGAGGTGCACTCAACATTATTGCTGAGACACTGACACGCAGATCTCGATGGCAATGACTAAAATGTGTTGTAGGATTTGATGTGAGGAGCAAAGAGGAGTCACAGTCATACTCACGGCTCTGGGGAGTGCATAGGGGAAGAGGCGTGTCGGATGTACTGGGTGCACTGGAACACTCGATATGCCAAACTGGCCAGGAAATCTCTGGCTGAGAGCAGACCTGCCACTGGACGCAGTATGAACCCTGTACGCTCTGTGTGTGTGTGTGTGTGTGTGTGTGTTCAGGAGGTGGGAGAAAAGGAGACAGAGAGTTGATGGACAGTGTATTCACTAAACATTTGCTTCACTTTGGGTGTTTCTTATTCCATCTTTACCTTTGAGGAAGCGTGACACGTCCTCCAACTGGGGAATGTTGTCTGGACTGTACCCACAATGCCTTTCCAGGAGACGGAAGGCCTCGAGGTATTCACTGCAGGCATGGGTGACGTACAAGTCCCTCAGAGTTGAGTAGACTTCCCTCCTAATTATGGATAAAATTGCATAGTAATTCAGATTCCATCTGTCCTTCTCAATCAAAAACAAGACGTAAAACCTTGATTGAGGTGTTGCAACAATTAACAAGCATAAAATACACTCTTAATAAAAAAAAGTTTAAATTTGGGACAATTGATCTTGCACTGCATTGTATTTTTTATTCTCCTGTTTTATCGGTATTCAGCTTATGTTTTCCTGTCAACCCCTGCACAGAAAAGCGCAAGCTGCCCTATCTTTGACAGTGCCCTTCGTCTGTAACTAATTTACCAAAATAAAACGCAAATCATATTCAACTGTCTGAGACAGGAGATGAAATTGAGGCAGTGGGTGGTGAATGGACACAACAATGTTCTGATATGGAAACAGCAGGAAGGTCTGCACGTTTGAAAAAACAAGTGATAATTTGTATTCAGTGTAAATTAAGATTTTATGCTTGGTGGTCTTCAGCCTTCATACACACATCACACATTAACTGCATGTTACATCCCTTACCATGTACCAATCTCCTCCTCTGTGTATTCCACTCTGGGAATCGGATCCCCGCTGAGGATAAACATATATATAGATGTATCAGGAATAATCAAGTATTAGGTTTTTTTTATGGACGTCTGTGCTGTAATCAGGCAAAAGATTGTAGCTCACTGTCTGTATCTGAAGGCGATGTCTCCAATCATTTTCCTCCTCTGTCTGTAAGCAGGGTCTGTGAAGCCCTGTTCAAATCAAATATATCAAACACTGATCACATTTTCTGTGTCATGACATATTGGTCCAACAACATAACCAACCCAGTAAACAGAATTGTTTCTCATCATACATGCTGCTGGCAACGTTGTTACTTACAGGATGGTCTTGATCCAAGTCTGGATCAAATTTTGTGACCAGATGATGACATCTGTCCAAATCTACTATTCTTTTTGGGAACCAGTGGACTAGCATGGAGAGAAAGGAAACAAATAGCAAAATTCAGCAATGAATAAAATATTGAATACGTTTTAAAAATTTTTTTGAGAGAAGCAGGAAAAGGATGTTACATTTGACTTCTTTGGTGGTTTTAACATCCTCTGCAATCCTCTTGATGGAGCTGATAAGAGTACTGACGTCTGAGAGGTGCACCTCACAGCGAACAAAGTACTCCAGACCTTCCAGGTTCTCCTTGAGCTTCCGACATGGTCGCGTCTCCAAATGGTGAATCTTAGCTTCAAATGTCTAAAATACAGTTAACACAGTGAAATACAGCTCCTGCAGTGGTACTGATTTACATTTCAAGGATTACAAAGGTGGGCTGCAATTGTGCACCACAGTATTTGATACAAAGGCGTGTATTCTGGCCTATATTTGGCACAATTTGTATAATAGTAAGCTGAACACTTCACCAAAACAAAGAGACAGTTTTAATACACACAACAGTCGTACTGAAATATCTTATTGAGCAGAGCGGAAGATTATATTTTTTAATTTGGCTATGCGTCCTCATATAGTCACTGCTCCCTAAAAGAGGTTTTATCACATTTTGCCGTATCCAGTCAAAACAGACCACATTGCCATCCATGTTAGATTTAATTGAGCTCTAGAAGTCATAATCTCTCATAGATGATCTGCTGTTGGTAAACTACAAAGCTTCTGATTGGTTGATAAATCATTACTAAATCTCTAGGGTTGTCAGGTTGTGAAAAATCCCTTTACCTCAAAGAAAAAGGATGATCTGGACCGAAATTCATTTAACTTATTAACATTTACAACTGCAGACATGATGGCGGATTAGCAGGGGCAGATCTAGAGGGGTGGCATAAAAATGCCTGCCCACCCCGGCTGCCACCCTAGTTTGGTGTCAAATGCTGTCAAATTTAAAACATTAATTTACATTAAGTTAAATGGAAATGTAATGATAATGAAATGGTAATAATTTAATAATCTGTTATGGCCACATTTTGGAAAAAGACATGTTTGGAAAAATGTCTGAAGATTTGGAAACAATTTAGTGATTTCTCATTATAGATATTTCTAGTCAATTCTTTATTAATGTGCTGCAATAATGTAATATTTCTGAGATAAAATATCTTCAATTGGGGGCTGTTCCAAGCAAAAATTAATATATATGATTGTTTGATTAAGTCTGCATTATCTCTGCCACCCCTTAAAGTCTCCATGCCCCCTGCTTATCAGAGAGTGAGAAACCCAAACGCATATTAATATATTCATATACATTTATAACTGCATTGTTTCCAAAACAAAAATGGATATTTCACAACTTAGCAACACGACAATTACAACTGATCTATAATGCATCAGTAGATGATATATCAACCAATAAATAAGCCATTTCTTGCCCAATTTTGCTCTCAAATGCACAGACATAAATTATTACGACCAAACAAAAACTGTTGGGATACCTCGAAAACTTTGAGTGTCCGCGACAGGGCAGGTGTCTTGGAGCTTCTTAAAGTGAAGAAGATGTTCAGGAGCGCTTTCCCGTCGTCCTCCTCAAACACTATCTGTTCACTGGCCTCTGCAGCCTCTGCCGCTGCGGCGGCGGCTTCCCTCTCCTTGCGCGCGTCCTCGATCAAGCTTTGACGCCTGCCGATGAATCTTGGAGACTGTTCCAAAAGAGAAAATCAAAGTTTGGCGTATTGCAGCTATTTAAAAAAAAAACTAAGCCACTGTCAGAGCACATATACACAATAACAGGGTGGGGTAACTGCAGGTATGTTCTTACCTTTGGGATTTCTCTTTTGGTATTTGATGGGAGCGCTCTACATCTCCAAATGCGCATTAGGACAGCGGTGCAGTCAAGGTAAACCTACGATATAGCTAAGACTGAGTAGCTGCCACAGCGCAATTTTTTGTTGATATTAGTTTTTTTTTGCTGAATTCTTCTTTTCTATATGACTATAATCTAGTGCGCGTCAGCCATCGCCGCTGCGTAATGGTGCGTATGCGTAATGGCTCTCTCCATGCAATACAACCGTTATTAGCGGTAATATGAATATAATGTAGACATAAGACTATGAGCACAATTTCTGATCGTCGATTACAACTGAATAAAAAACATAAAAAATTGTCTGATGTAAACTTACCGTGATGGAGTCAGACCTCTCCAGCTCGGATGCTGCTCTGCGGATGCTCTTTGTGGAGGACGTGGAGCTGCTTGAAAGGGGCATATTTAGGCGTGGAAGTCTTCTGTATTGTCTGCGTGCCAAAGTGTGACTGAAGTGACAGTGCAGTTGTGGCGCTCTCTAGACCTCTCCGGCTGTGCTGTGCGCCCAGAGCTTTTCTTTTTTTCCCCAGACAGGGTCCCTCTTTTTATGGGATCATTTGTTTGCAGTTTCTGACGTCAAACAAGCTAATCCCACTATAGTCAATCAATGCGCAGACACATCCAAACTTGGTGCCATGTATATACAGTAGCTATATCTGACCTTTTGTAAAGCCGACACACACACACACACACACACAGAGCTGAAAAAGTGAGCATTTTCCTAATGTTTGGCATATTTTCAGTGGTTATTAGTTATTAAGTTATTAGTTATGATTTGTATTTTTTATTTATAATAGAATATTAAGGGAACCTGCACAAGTTCTTGGTATTGTTTAGTATCTAAAATCGTATATATGTATATTTAATTATATATATAGTTTATATATATTTTAATTTTTTTCATGTTTATATGATTAACAATTAACAACATATTTGAGGTGAAGTTGTGTGGCTACAACTACCAGATGGATACACTTTATAATCAACGCTTTGGCAATAATCAAAGCTTTGACCTCAGGGCTTTACATAAAGGTTGGACCAGAAAAAAGTCAACTGTGGAAAATTAAGTCACTTTATCAGCTCAATCGAATCTCCACAGCTCTTCACAAATTAGATTTTATTGTGGAAGACACACACACACGCACACGCACACACGCACGCGCACACACACACACACACACACACACACACACACACACACACACACACACACACACACACACACACACACACACACACACACACACACACACACACACACACACACACACACACACACACACACACACACACACCGGGAAAGAGAGAACAACAGAAAACAACAGGTTATTTTCCTGTTTGGGCCATTCTGTCTGTTTCTTACTTGCAGCAACCACATCAAGTCAATTTGTATCGCTTTTGGCCGAGGACTTTGGTGGTTAACATGATTGTGAAGTGATGTACGGTGCCCACAGGCAAGCTGAGGTAAAACGATTATCTGTGGACCTCTGGCCACATGCTGCCACAGCAGCAACCTTGCATGGGTGCAGAGAAGGCAAATGGGCCCCAATGTGACTCTTCCCCCAACCCTGAACACACAGACTGAAAATGCTAAAGAGCACTGATGTAGCCCCGGGCACAGACAACGGCGGTTCCGTCCTTTACTGGGGGATGACAGAGTGAGTATGAAGAAAGAAAGATAAAGCAAACAGACAATAACCACCTTTCCACCCTGTTTAAGCCTATTTTCTGCATGGAATCAAAGTAAATTGGAAATCTTTAGAAATTAAGCTGTATGTTTTTTATTTTTTTTATTTTGACCTTTTTTTGAAAGTGCATGCCATAAAACAGTGAGCAACAGGTAGAAGCTTGACATTTATTCAGAGATAGGAGTAATTATCATGGTTTGTTCCATCCATGTCTTTCAAGCAATGTATTATTTTTTTAAGCAGTCAGAAATCTTTCAAATGACTCCTCTGGTTGGGGGTAAGACAGATTCATATTATTTGCTGCCATAATAATTGACAAATTATTTGTGGTTCCCCCAAGAAAAACGTGCCAGAAAATATTCACCATTTAAAAATACATCTGTGACTAAAACATAACATCCATTTGTTACAAAATTGAGCATCTTTACTGATAGACACAAAAAACAACTGTATCCCAAACCACAAGAGACTTAATGATTATACAGCAGCACAGGTTTATTGAAGTTCAACCAGATTTTGCCCGTCTGAGGAAGAGCAGCAGAGCTACAGGCTGAATCAGGGTCAAGATAAACTGATATCACTCCTTCTCCTCCCTCCAAATGTCTGCTTTCCTGTGTCAGCCCACTTTATCAAGACCATAGGCTATTACTGGTCATTTGAAATCAGCCAGAGAGAACGCTTTCCCGATCTTCCCCGCCCCATCACTTTTATTGCTATGTTTGCAAATAAAGTCATACAGTGTCTTGTATTTCCAACCCGAATGATAAAGGCTGTGGTGGAAGAAGGATTCAGGTCTTTTACACTCCAACTTTGAGTAAAAGTACCAATACAATAGAAAATAAATACTCCACTACAAGTAAAAACATTACAATCAACTGTGCATAAGTATCATCAGCAAAATGTAACAGAAGTATTAAAAGTAAAAGTATCCTTTTTGTAAATCTTTATTAAACCTCAAACAATTCGTCAAATGAAAATAGTAGTAATAAAGAACTCATGGACATACATAACAATGTGTTGAATTTCAGAAGCTTATCCAATACTTATTTAATGTAAAATCTTCAACTGAAAAGTAAATAGGAAGTTAATGTCCATCTGTCAAATAAATGTAATGGAGTGAAAAGTAAAATATTCATCTCTGAGATATTGTGGAGTAGAGGTAAAAAGTAGCAGAAAATGGAAATATTATGTAGACTAGGTACCTCAAAATTACTGAGTACAGTATTTGAGTAAATCTACGTGGACTTGAAGGGCAGTGATGTGGTCCCCTGTCTGGCTCGGATAAATGCAAGTTGATAAAACTTTCAGAATAATGCTTGAAAGGAAAAGCAAATTTTGTTACCCTCATTTGAAATGTATACTTTATATGATTGTGAATTATAATAATGTAACATTTTGTTTGGGGGTAGTCAATACGTATCAAACAGGGCACTCTGAAAGAAATTGTGGCTGTGAATTGCGTTCGTAAATGATGTGATTTTAAGGCTTTAGAAGATCGTGACATGCACCCTCTCCTACGCGACTCTTGCTGTGGTGTACTGTAGCTCAGCTGCAGAGGGGTTGCAAAGTCCTTTCTGGCTGCTCGTGGTCAGGCTGACTCATCGTCACCACTGAGTCGACCCCCATCATTGCTCATACCAGGTATCGAGGCTACCTTTTGTTGGAAATGTTGCACTTGAAGAGACGATATCTCTCTGCCATTCATCCCTCTGTGTTTATCCAATTCCATCTTCTTTTCTGGAAGTGTCGGACGCGTCCACAAATGACATCAGGATGATAATTATTACAATTATGTATTGATTCAGCGGCAGCATTGTGGCATTGTGAGTGTCAGCTTTTCTCTGCATAATTGTGGGACTTCGGGCTAATTGCAGCTAACGCAACCAGCTGGGCTATTATTCACCATCCTCCACATTTCTTTTCTCTCTCTGGCTGCTGAACAATGTTGGTCACCTTTGTGGGGGTCATTAGACTCATCCAGTTGATGAAGAGGAGAGGAAACACAAAATAAATGTCCTATTAATCGCAGTATGTGTTGGGTAAACAACTTCAAAATGAGCATATCAGTTTGTAGTGCTTGGTGGATGACTGGTAGACCCATATGAACACTGTATGTGTGTTTCTCTGTGTGTCTGTTACATATGCATTAAAATTTATTATGGCTTTTCTGTCTGTCTGTTGAGATCAAAAAACATGAATCCATTTCCATTGTCATAAAACATACTATACAAAACCCATTTTGTTTAACATTATGATACCTTGTTTAAAGGCCTCTGCTGATGCATTGCTGCATTTTTTGGTCCATTACCACCACCTGTTGATCAGTGCCACCTGCACATGCACTAGGATGCATTTATGATTTTGTGTTTTGGTTTCCTTAGAACGAGCTGCTTTTGTCAACCATGTTGAACCGCCATGTTTCTACAGTAGCCCAGAATAGACAAACCAAAAAACAACTTAAGATAGAGCCTTTTTACTTTCTCCTACATACTTCTAAGGTGGTACTTCACAGCTAGATGCCACTAAATCCTCCACACTGGTGCTTTAAAGCCAGATCCCGACCCATTTGAACATCAATCGGAGCTCCAGTAGTGTTTGGGAACTTCGAGATCAAGGAGCATTGAAGCTGTTCAGCAGCTGTTGAAGGCATGTTGTGTCCCAACATTTTACTAAGACCATTTTTGTTGTTTTCTTTCTTTCTTTTCTTTCAATTTAACACCGATCTGTAACTGGTTTGTGTTTATAAACGCAAAAAGATGCAATATTTATGAGCGATCAAATGTGAACTCAAATTTATGAACCAAACAAAAGTATGATATGACAGATTTAAATAATCTTAAACTACTCAAACACAGTAGAACTTGGTATCTTTATCTCCTCTCCCTCTTTTTATCACAGCATCTGAGCATCTGTGACTGGCGATGACTGTGATTGTTTTTGCATGTGTCAAAATACAGCTGCCAAGTGGAATGACTAATCACACAGAGTGCTCCTCCACTGCCTCTGTCTACATGTGTAATTTGACAGCGGTGGCATAAAGTGTTCCTGGGGTGGGCGAGTGGTTGAGGGACTGATGCTCAATGGTCCATGTGGACTGTCGTCATCACGGTGGTGCCATGATGGCCAGTAACTACAGCTGTGAGCACACAGCTACGACCTCACACATTACCAACATTACCAGCAGGCTGCTGTGACCCCCTCATGGTTCAGACTATCACCCCTAATTATAATGTGAGGGAAATTCTTGTAATAACCAAGTGTTTCCTTTTCCTCTTTGCTAATATAATAACTTGTATGTATGACTTTGCTGTTGCTTGAATAAAAGAGAAAGATTATGCATCTACCATGTATAATTGAATAGGTTGCTCAGTGTAAATGGGTTTACCTGGAAGAGTGATGACCTCTTCTTGTTTAAGTGTATGTGTACCAGAGAGGAAAGTGTGGAAATGTTTGTGAAATGACATAGGGGTGAGGAGTGACATACAAAGGATAAGCAAAGTTTGTCTTAAGATATGGAAATGTGATATGAAAATGTCATGAGTAGCTGATCAGTGGCGTAATAGCGTTTGTGGTGCAGCTGGGCTAATACGTACGAATATGGAAGTTCTACGGTTAGTGCCAAAGAAAAAGGCTGTCTGACGGCAAGGTAAAGCAGTGAAAATATTTGTTAAGGGCCCAGTGAGAAGAATTTAGTGGCATCTAGTGGTGAATTTGCAGATTGCAACTAACTGAACTCTACCCCGATCTGTATTTGATGACCTGGGAATGAAAACGGACTGTGAAGTGTATAGGGGGAACTACGATGCCCACAAAATGCAGTATTTATTTTGTCCGTTTTGGGCCA